TATTAGGCTTTGAATCTAATTTTCAAATATAAGCACTTATGCTTCACCTGAAAAATATGCAGGCAGTCTTAAATGGACACTTACATTCAGGCTTTTGCTTTTATGTAAATGTGTTTTGCGTGCCCAATTTCCCATTAACACAAGGTCACAAATTAAGTTTCTTATGTATTTACATAACATCTGAACATGAATTGCATACAACTGCTGATTGCATAAATGTGCCTATTCAGGATTCATACGGGCTTTGTGTCTGTACATGAGTGTCAATATATTCACAGAGGCAAGGCGAAGTGTTCCATGGCGATACAGGAATTTTCCATATTTCTAAGTAGTGATAGGTTTTAAGAGGGAATTTTGTCTGGCTTCTTGATTGTTTTTTCCAAACAAAATTTTCTTTAAACTTTTTCCCCTTTTTAATACTGTTTTTGAAATTGTAGTTCTAACTGTACTTTGACAGTCATCTTCACTAAATGTTTTGCCCAAGACAGCATAGAAAAGCATGTGTAGTAGTGACGCTATTGATCTTTACAGATATTAAGCTTGCTAATGCTGCTGTGAAATAGGTAAAATAGTACATTAATTTTGTAGATGGGCAAATGCTTTAATTTGTTTTCCTCTCTCGATTTTTCCAAGTAACGCCATGAGTCAATAAGTACTATTATCCATGACTCTGAAGCCTATTAACTAAATATATTTCATGTGCATGTGTGTAAGATCATTATATATGTATAACGAGCTCATCTGTAAGTGGCAGCTAGATTCGGAGATTCTGCTATTGCTCATCAATTCAAATAGGCTGCTGCATTGTCCAAAGTTGCTGTGAACGATATGATGAGTGAGGGTCCATGTGGATGCCTTGCGGTCGTGTGTGCAAGGGATGCCTGAATATCACCCACATGGGATTCCTCATTCCCCCCCAGCAGCTCTGGGCCATCCTTGAGCAGTCCTCCCCAGCCTGACTGACAGCATCCCCAGACGCCTGTGTCAGCAAAAGCTTGAATTGAATGAGGAGAAACCTGGGTCTCTATTCCTCCTTCTCCTCCTCTTGGATGCTCTCGGTGGAGTGTGATTGGGGCGGGTCCGTCTTGGGTGAATTCTATGGGAGAAAAGCATCAGCACGTTTTCTTTGGATCAGGAAAGGTTTGATTAGTCACTGTTCAAGCTGAAGTTCTCCCAAAAGCTTTTAGTTGAATGGGAATGTCTTTTAGCAGGATTATTAGGCAGACTTTGGCATGTGCGTTCTCAATAAGGCAGAGACGAGGGACAAAGCAGAACTACCAGTTTTTGGTTTTCCTTAAGGAAGCATCCTATGTGGTGACATACTGGGTATTTTAGAGTTGAAATTTGAAGAGAACTTATTTGGCACTTGTAGTATTTTTCCAGGCTGATTTTAATCAGCCAAATAAGTGAAACCAACTCCTCCCAAGAATCCATCATAAAACCTAGTTTCTTACTCAATATGTTTGCTTTCTGAGCTAGCTCCTTGGCCAATTTTCCAATGGAAAATTGCCTTTTTTTCCCATGGGACTGATTCCCTTAGCACAAGTGAACGCCCAAGTGAAATGAGACTTATGTACCAGAGTCTGTCATCAGCCTGCACTTACTGCACAGGATGGTTTAAGGATGAAGGAAACCAGCAGAGACCCCGCAGCCACTTTTGACCGCCATGTGAGAATTCCCTAGCATTGGATTACCCAAGGCTGATGCTCCTGTGGTGCACGCTGGACTGTGTGATGGCACAAGGCTGTAGTGGGAGGAACTAGGTGGACGTTAGGAGATGGGGCAAATCCAGTGACAGCTCAGCTTCACAGCCTTTCTCCTGCTCCAGAATGGTATCCTGATCTCCTGTGCTGCCTCGGTGAGATACAGGCAGCCCGGCAAAGGAGCGTGCATCAAATCAATGAGCCTCGCACCACGTGCCTGACTTCTGACAGATCTTATGTGAGCTTAGAGATGTGTAATGGTCCCTAGAAGACCATAAACTAGTAGAAATCAGAATACCCCTTAAATTGCCGTGACTTAAACCTAGGGTCAACCTTTTCTTGTTAAAATCCAGACAATCACTGAAGCAGAGAAACTGCACCAGTGGCTGAAATCTCTCTACCTTGTCCTCAAATGTTCTCTTTCCCAATGAGGAGTTACTTATACTTCTCCTAGACCTTAAAAACATGGCATATTTATGTGAGAATGAGTTGAATTCTCCTCTACCTCATGTCTCATCAAGAAATCAAGGTCCTAATTTCTTATTGCAGTGTCTTTGTAATGCTAAATAGTACTTCAAGGGGCAGAAATAACAGAGCTGAATCATCAGATCACAGTTTGAGTTTCTGATCTCAGTTGGAGTTTTAGGGGCAGGCACTTGTAAGTTGGACAATTACTCATCTAGAAGAATCTTACAGTTCCATGATTGTTAAGGAAACACTGGAGGTGAGTAGAAAATGCCATACTTTCAGGGTGTCTGTAAGTAATACAGTTCAACTGCTTATGAAGAACAGCCATCATTGACTTGATGCCTTCCCCTGAGATTGTTAGGACTATTGCAGACGCTAATCAAACGGCTTCCAGGAATTTCCTTTTAAAGAGGCAAAAAGGAAGAAACTGAGAAACAAAACTATGTTTTCATCCACCGGGAACAGAACAACTTTTTTGATGGTCTCAGTCATGTAATTTCACCCTTCCCTTTCGATAAAGCCTCATTTTTAAAAGGTACTTTTCCAATCCCTCAGTTGGATGTGAAGGCAGCACACAGCCGGTATCAGGGCTGGCACCGCGGGGCTATTGCTGCTGCCGGGAAGCAACGTGGGAGAGCTGCGATGCCGAGTTCAACCATGGCTTTGCACTCCCAGCCTTCATCTTCCCTTCCCACAAGAGGCATGAAGGGCTCCTGGCTGCCGCTCCATGACCGGCTCATGGTGTGTAGTGTTCATTTCAATTGGAGACGTGTAGATGAGTCTTCACTCTTGATTAGGGAGAAAAGTGCTTGTTGCATTAGGTCAAACTGTGTCCTCATTTGTGTCTGTGAGCCCCGCGGGAGCCAACGTGGGTAGCCCGGCCTCGTAGGGTCACGCTGGTCTTTTGTCACCTCAAGAGTGTGTATTGTGTAAATCTGGTGTTTACCATCTGACTGTATTTTATTCAGGAATCAGTCAAGAATGATTTGTTTAACGAAACCCAGTCAGGCTTTCACTACAGAGGGACAATGTCTACGAAGTACGGCATTTGTAGTCGGTGTTGAGATGGTTTACGGTACAGATTGTGTTTTGCTGCCTTTCTGCAAAAGAGCACTGCTCGCTGCAAAACCAGAGGGCACAGCACTGTATGGCTCCTTTCACAGTACAGCTCCTGAAATCAGCCTCAAATTTTATACATCTCATTGTCAATGGATGGCAAAGATGTACCCTGCCTCTATTTCTGATATATTAGTAACACCAAGACTGGTAATGCCAGAGCATAAATGTGCTCCGTGCACGCTCTGTAACCTAAAATCTGTTGATGGTTTTGAAAAGCTGGACAAAATTACTTAGTCAATTTAATTTAAATTGAAGGCAGATCTTTAGTGTGAGATTTGCTCATTTTACTTCTTCCAGTTGTTTAGGATCTCCATGTGTTATTGGTCCAACAAAGGTCTTAAAAATCAAAATCTGAATGGTAGGACTTTTTGCTGATACACTCCCATAAAATTCATCCCCACCAGCAAATTTTTCTTATGAGGGTTGGAGCTGTGCTTGCAACACGTATTTTAGGGTTAAGGATTTGGCCCGAGGGCAGATCATAGAATACAAAGGCTGCATAGTTTTCAATTACACAAAACGTGTAAAGCTGAACTTCATGCAGAGACATTTGTTGCAAGCCCACATATTTTCTGCTCTTACATGGATGACTAGAAGTGTGTATTTAGCCACATGGGTTATTAAATGCAACTCAGTTAATGGCATTTTCCTCCCTTCCAGAGGTCTCCCACACCATACTATTTCTTAGTGGCATTTAGTTCTGTCTTTCCATCATCCCAAACACCCTCGAACAAGCATGTGTAGAGATCTCCACCGGCAGCACACGTTGAGGGGGACTCAAGTAAAGCTTCCTTCACGTTGCATCACAGTGCTGCGTGTGAAGTGGGGGTTTGGTAACCTAACAAAAAATCCTTGTTCATCCTATTTGGATGTTTATTGTGGAACTTATTAGCAGACATTTACATAGCTTTAGCCACTTTTTTACAGGTTTTAGCAGGAATTTCCAACCTTCACTGAGCTCTTAGCTGATGCACGGTAGAGATCCACAGAAATAATTTGCATCTTTGTTGTTTGCTGCTTTTGGCCAAACCTAAAATCTCTTCAGTTAATTCCAGTCACGTGTAGAAGAGAATAAGTTTTAATTTGGGTTCTCTTGCCAGAATTGCTTTGGTGTGCTACCCCTGCTTAGCACACTGCCTAAGCTAAACGGGAATGTAGAAAATTCAGCCTTTTTTCAGCAAAGCCAAAAAATACTTGATTCCTGTTGACACAATTTCAAAATGATTGAATGTACTCTTTTCCTTGTAAAGGCTTCCTGATTTTGTGTCTAACCCTGTTGCATTTCAGTAAAAGGATCCCTTGGGTAATAGCAATCAATTAAAAATCTGACAAGCTACAACCATTGTCATTCACTCTAAAGCCTGAGTGCTTTTTCCAGAGGTCAGAATTTACTAAGATTAAAGTGAAAGATCTGCTGGAAGCACCAGTTCTCTGTAAGGGCTTTTTACCTGCATAGGTTGAATTTATTTGGTGAACACAGTGATAACAAGAATAAGAACCACCTATCGCTGCAGATCTGCAGCAAGATTATCTTAACTTTTTAGAAAGGCTTGCCTTAGGATGGGGAAATGGGAAAATTTGGGCTGGGCGAGTAAAAAAATAACAAAAATCCAGGTCTTAATTTTGGGGAGGAGGCCAAAGGAGAGGGGCAGCAGTCATGCTTCGAGACAGACTCTTGCTCAGTGCGTGTCTCCATCTCTCTGCCCGCAGCCCCCTGCTTGCCGTCTGCTTTGCTGCCTCCTGCGGAGTCCCGGGAATCGCCCTGCTGACGCTGGGAGTAAACCCTCTCACCGGGGCCCTGGGAGCCTTCAACATTTTCTTGTACACGTGTTGCTACACACCCATGAAGCGAATGAGCATTGCCAACACGTGGGTGGGAGCCGTCGTCGGTGCCATTCCCCCCGTCATGGGCTGGACTGCAGCTACTGGTAGTCTTGATGCTGGTGAGTATAAACCCCTTGCATCTGGGTGAGCGGTTGTCAGCAATGCCTTTGGGATAGCTAAAAAGACCCACTCAAAAAGTAGTGAACCTTGTTTTTTATGCTTGTTGACCTGATACTGCTTTGAAAGCAGATATATTCTGCTGTTAGTGATGCCAAACTCTGTTACAGTGTGGTACCATAAGGACTGAAGAAGTAGATGTGATTGTATCATTCTCCTTATGGGGGCATTTCAGGGGCAAACACAAGCTAGTAAAAGACTGTCCTATTGAATATGTGTTTAGGCCATCTTAAAAAAAAAAATCTAGAAGGAAAATATAGAGTCTTTGGAGTTCACATGGAAGAAAAAGTTATGTAATTTCAGGATTAAAACCATACCCAGTAAGATCTGACTGACAAGTCAGGAGCTTTCAGCTGGAAAATTCCCAGATGTGTTTATTACTGTCTTTCCACAAGCCAGAAAATGTCCTAGGAAGATTAATTTATTGGTGTATTTCTTAATTGCCCACTTCTAAACTGTAAGTTATAAATGTTCCTCCCCCCGCCCCTTGAAAAGCAAACGAAGATTTCTATTTTAGTAACTGTGAACCGTTTTTACATCCCTCATAAAACACTGATCTCTTCAGCAGCTCAACTCTGACACAATTAGGGCTTGTTTTTCCTGCCAGCTAGAAACTTAAGAATCCAAGTGGCTCCACATAGTTATATTCTGAAGAAACTCATGAAGGTCAATTTAACAGGTCTGTTAAGAATTTTTTTAGTGCACACTCATCCCACAGTGTGGCATATTTAAGGCTTCAATAATAAGTTCAACAACAAGGCTTTTAGCCAGAAGTTATCAGAATCTGTGCAAAATCCATAGCAGGCCGCTCTTCATTGATTCTATGAACTCCCTATAAAAACCAGTCTGAATTGTCTGTGTGTATGCATGTTCTGATACAGATCTAATCCAGAGCTAGGATGAAGGGTTTCGTGGTTTCTTTTTTTTTTTAATTGTGTGTGCTATTTCTGTACAAACATGTACTTCTCTGGAATTTTTTTTATATTTAGACCTAAAATTATATGTATGTGTATGTGTAGTGTCTCATGCTAAGGAGTGTGTAGCAGACATCATTAAAAGCTCTTTATTTCTAAAGAGAAGAGAAAGAATTAAAAACACAAAATGTGTTCTGGCTGCACTTGCTTAGGCCTTGGATCTTACATCAATTAGAGATTTCTGCGTTGGTTTTAGCATCTCTTTGTAGAGTTGATGCTAGAACGTGACTCTCATGTGCCTGTGCTTCACCTGCAAAGTCCAGCCTGGAGGAGCTGGGGGAACGAGCTTGCCTCAGAGGCTGTCACGATTCACATTTTCAGCCCTGGTTTTAAAATGACAGCTAAGCTGCTGCACTTAAAGCCCAGCACATTAAGGTAAAGTGGCACCAATTTGCATTATCTTTTAATTTGTCATGTTACAACTTGCTCTTTGAGACCTATTTGGCAAAGAGCTAAGCTGTCCCTGTGCGACGGGCAGGGCAGGCAGGCAGCAGAGAGCAGCATCTTCGTCCCAAGTAAGCTCTTCCTCTCTAATTTGCAACGGAGATGTGGTTACAAGGCCCTCTGCCAGCTCTGCTGTGGAGGAGATCGGCTCTGGCAATGAGGCCATCAGCAGAAGATGATAACTTAAAACCACCTGAGCAGACTTTGCCAGAACACGATGATCTGCACTGGTGCGTAACCTGATGTTGTTTGTTCTGGGTAGCTAAAACTTCCCACAGTCACCTCCCAGTCTGTGTCAGTGAGGCCATTTCATTTAATAGAAAAAGAAATACTATTGTGCTGATACAGGTCTTTGTAATGAAGCACACCTGGGGAGAGTGCTGAAAATGGTGACCTGAATGTAATATTTTCGTGCATTTCAGTATTTAAAAGAAAAACCCTAAATTTTCAAAAGAAAAGAGATAAATAGCAGGAAAGGACTGCATTGAAAACTACCATTTTCAGTGTTAAGCATTCTGCTGTTGCAGAGAAGAGAGTTCGGCATCTGGCAGCATCAGACCCATGTGGAGTACAAGCGTGCATCCCTGTGTGTACGTACATGACGTGCAGTCCTGCATCCCTTCTCTGACCAGCCTAGCCACACTTGTTGAACTCATTAATAATGTGTAATTAGCTTGGAGACTTAACCTACTTGTAGGTAGAGGTGTGAAAATACATTTGCACCTCGTTTTTTAAAAAAAAAAAAGATCATTTCACTCAATAACAAAGAGGAATGTGAAGGAAGGGAGTTAGAAAACTAATGAGGAGGAAGGTTCTCACCCCTTAGCTGGTGGGTTTTTGAATTTACATTTTCCTGTGAATTTTCTCTCCTTGTAATCTCACAGCAGCCACATTGTTATACATGTTGCTGGTTGTGGGGAAAACAATATTTAAGAGTAGCCCTTTCATTAGCATTTGAGGGGGGTAGCTGAGCACTACACCGTACTGTGTGGTACCCTGGGACAGCTGTGTCCGTGCTCTTCAGTAATGCTGGGAGGGCAGTAACATCCCTGGCGTGGTTCATAGCTGGTGCTGCCAGACTTTGAGGGAGTTGGAGATGATTTCTGGTTTCCGATTCCAGAGATAATAACAAAGTGGCTCAGATTGGAGCAGCCTCGTTTTAATTTGTCCTCATTTTGCCTATAGCTTTCTTATTTCAAAGGTTAATACCTTGACCGCTTCTCGCAGAAGAAATAAATATCACATATTTGCAGATAAGAATCTGGGACCCTTATGATGCAAACACTTGCTGGTATTTCATACACTACACATCCTTTGCAGATCTTATGGTGATTCCCAGTGATGCTTGCTTCCATTTCTGCCCTGATAGGTAACTTGAATTATATGCTCTTAAACGTGATTGAACATCCTGCCCACAGCCCTAGATTTTGTGCCAACGTACTTTAGGGAAAACCTCACATTTCAAAAGTGAAAGATAAGGTTATCTCTGGGAAGATGTGGAATTCTTTGTTGTGGGTTTGGGGGGTTTTGTGGGGTTTTTTTAATGGCAGCTGTTTGAAACTGATGAAAGATGGGGAATGTTAACATTTCCTCGCTGGGGGAGCAGGTGAGATGGTCAAAGGTGTGCGATAAATGTAATCTATCACGTGGATATCACTACCGCGTATCTGGTGTATTTATGCAGAACTGAACTGCCAGCCCGTGACTTGCAGTAACACATTTGCTTCCTTGAAAGCAGATTTCATTGCTCCTTTGTGGTATGATTTATTTCCAAAGAGCTTTGTTTTTCTAGTAAATCTAGATGCCCTCAAACTGTTTCTCCTGATTTTGCAAAGGAAGGACTAGCAGGAAAAATCATGAAAATCACTTACAGCCTGAAGTGATGGCATAAAGACGGGAAAAAGAGGCAGAGCTCGGCAGAGTGTCCTGCTCTGTGCTGGATCCTCCTCCCGTGCCGGATCCACACGCAGGATTGCTCCTGGCTGTGCCACGCTGCTGTTGAGCCTGTGTACAGATGTCTTTAGGAAGAAACAGAGCTATTTGTTTTGGCATGCGAGAGACACAAGGTATGCATGCTTTAAATTACTCCTGTGTTGCTGGTCTTTCCTCCAGACTAATGCTGCAGCTTGCTTGTTAGAAATGTTTGCCGTCCATCTAAACTTGTTATTCCTACTTAGCAGGAAAACGGAATTTGGAGTAAACATTTCCGAGTGCCGCAGCCCATATTTTGCCTTATACATTTTGCTCTTCTTCCATTGACCTGTGCTCGTGTGCTGAAGGCTCAATCCCAGCCAGCAAGTGGTATCAGTGTCTTCGAGTGGAGCAATTCAGTGCCACGGCGTTCGTAGAAACCACCCAGTTAGATGGAAGTGACAAGCAGGGGTCCTCAACATAATGTGCTTATCAGTTAAGGGGATTTATTCTGAGTAGGTGGCGGTGGCGTAGCAGATAACAGCCTGACAGTATAGCAGACATTACAGACCCACGGTGGCCTGGAGCCATAGGTATTACTGCACCAAAGAATGTTTATCTCAAGAGACTATTTAGTTTATCTCAGATGCTCCACTTCTGGTCTCGCTTTCCTGAAAGACATCTTGTACTGATTTTCATTCATTTTCCGAAATTTAAATAATTCCTGGGGCTATGGAATTTATAGACTGAGTATCAATTGTAATCATGTGGAGGCTGATTTTTAAATTGCCTTTACTTTGTAATTCAAATTGTGTTGTATGGTAGACATTAATTATGTCAGCCAACATCTATTTACAAATGGGGATTTAAAACCGGGCAGTTCTTATCAGCTAGTGACATTTGGCAGATGGATGGTTTCAGTAACAAAAAAAAGAGAATAGGGGAGAGGGGGGGCTGCGCCCAACCTGTCACTGGCTGGAGTCTCTCATACCTTCCCTGGTGGAGCACTTGTCTGCCAGGAGGAGGGAGAGCAAAGCAACAGCTTAATTGCATGCAAAATAAGCTCGGAGATCTTTGTGTCCCTTCCAGTTAAGCACTTTTGAGCTTTCAAAGCCCCTTGATGTGTAAGCAGGTCTGGGAGCCAGCCGGGAGCAGGGCAGCTCCGCCATCCTGCCGCAGGACCAGAAGAGACTCTGGCCATAAAGCCCCTCTAGTAAACTCAGCTTTTCGAGATTTCACTTCTCAGATGAAAGACAGCAGAATTTGTGGTCTGTTCCAGAGGAAACGGAGATATTCATGTCACTGACATATGAGAATTGGAAGCTAGGGGCCCAGGAGTGTGCTTTGTGGGGGTAAAAACTGTAAAAACCAAGGCAGAGGGACAATACTAGCAAGCAGCTGGTCTGAATTTAGGACAAAAGCCAGTGGGCTATATTTTTTTCTCCCCTTTCCATCTTCACAAGAGACAAAAGAAATGGCAGTTCCACCGCTGGGGCACCTGGGGGACTGACCCCACGAATTCACAGGCAGTGTGCCCTTACCTGGTTCTCTGCCCCACATGTGGCTGTTGGGGCACCTGGAGGAGATGGGGCTGTGCAGCAGCCCCCGTGCCC